GAATAGTAATTTAAAGTAAGTGCAATTTTTTTTAACTCATTACTGTATCTTTGACCAGTTGCCTTCTTATTTTGGTTGTTCATCTGATTTCTAAATATTTCCTTAGACATGCTTTCAAATTCATCTAACAATGTGTCATGTTCATTATCTCCAATCAAACCTTTCTTTCTAATACTTTGAAGTAATTCTTTAAGATTTGTTACTTTACTTTTTAGTCTTCTGACTTGTTGACATAATTGTTTAGCTTGGTATAGTCTACGTTGGTGTAGTCGATAATGCTTTTAAAGGGCTATTGCTGTACGAATGTTCAAACTTAATTTGTCTTTTAACTCTTTTTGGTGTTATTAGACATTCCTCACAAGAATTATTTATACTCAAATCAATGGGATTTTCATAAGCATCTATATTACCCGTATCATATTTTTCTTCTGCACTTTTTGTAGGGGGTTTGATTTTGAGTACAAAAAACGGATGGAACTGCATAATTTTTGTGCAAACGTTGACCATTTATATTTTTAAAGTCTGACTAAAAGAAATGTTTACACTTTACTGCATACCCTGCTATATTTTGTAGGAACAAATCCTTTTATTTGTATCGCATCTGTCCACCGTTTTGTTATTTATTTATTTATTAAAGGAAAACTAAAAACAAAAGATAATGTATACATTTTATTTAAACAAGCATTTCTCAAGATGATACTTACGAAAAAAAAATGAATACCACTATTTGCAACTTTTTTACTTTTACATTGCCAAAAACAACAAAAATAAACCATTTTACCTAACTATAAAGAATAATTTATGTATGCCAAAATATTACAATACAACTACTAAAATTACTTATTTAAGACAGCTAATTATTGTATACCATATGTAAAAATTGGTGTGATAATAATAATATTTATAATATATCAATATATTTATATATATATCAATAATATGTTAGATATTATAACTAAGTTATTTCTAACTTTCTTATAGCATTTCGGTATGTGGCTTTACATACTTCTATACACAACAATTTTTTTCCCTCAACTATAAATTAAACTAATCAAAATCATTCTTAACAAAACTAAATCTTATTTTACTAATATAGGTAATTTACCATGAGTTTAAGGATTGAACTTTTGGTCAAAACTTAGGAACTGCAAATTGTATCATACCATATGTTTAAAGTTAATACAAGTAAATTACATCCTTTGTATTGTTATAAATACAAGATCATAAAATAATTGTACCATTTAATGGCATTTATTTTGAAACTCAACGTCTAATAATTAGAAGAGTCTTGTTATTACATAAATATAATATTAATTTAACCAAATTTTATCATTTCAATAAGTATGAGATATATATTAATAATATTTTCTCTTATATTTATTTTAATATTAAATTAAATCTTTTTTTCTTCTTTTTTGTTTTACTTTATTATGTTTTAATATGACATAACATAAAGTTATATTTATTTTCATTTTAGTTCATTTTTAATATGAACTCAGATCATTAGAATTCAAGTAGTGCTTATTGGACGAGCTTGAAACTTGTTAATTATATCTATTTTGTATTTCTGGTTTGTTGCAATAAATTATACTTTTAATCTTAATTTTAAGTCAAGGACTAAGATATACCTACTTAAAATTACTATAAAAATAAACTGTCCTTCTGTATTTTTTAGATTTTTTGGTAACAGAATTAACTACTTACGTGGAATCTTGTCTTAAATTTTCAATCCTTAGATATAAAATTTGAACATTTTATAAATTTTTAACTAGAAAATAATTATTCAATTTTAAATTTCATACATTTTGTCAAAATTCGATCTTAAAATGCTTATACAAAAAAATTGGGCCTATGTATTTTTTTTTTTTAACTGATATCGTAACAATATATCAGGAGTCTTGTATTAAATTTTTACACTTTTTGGCCCAACAAATAAAACTTTATTGATATTTATAGAAAAAAAAACTAAAAAAAATTGAAAGCTGTAAATGTCCGTACACAGCTCAAAAAGAGTCAAAATATTTTCAAAATTGTATGGTGTATAGGAAATGCTAATATGAACATTCAGTGAAATTTGCATGTATCTTCAGTTATTCGTTTTTGAATTACAACAAAATAAGGAAATCGCACATGAGAAATCGAGTGAATATGCAATGTTGTAAAAATTTGAATCATAAATATTTAATTTGACTTTCCGGTAGAGATTTTTTTGTTGATAAAGGTAGACAACTTATGAGTAATCTTGTATAGAAAAATTTTTACGAATTCTTCACTCAAAATAATTTGCTAATTTTCGTGATTTTTCCATATTTTGTCAATTTTTGAACTTTAAATGCTTATAAAAAAAAACTGTGGCTAAGGATTTTTAATATTTTTCATCTGCCTTAGAAACAATAAACTAAGAGCCTTTTATTAAATTATAAAGCTTTTTTAATCAACAAATAAAATTTTATTGATATTTTTAGAAAAAAAACTATAAAAAAATGGAAAATACCAATGAATATTTAATAATAATTTATTATTTTCGTATTCAGCCGCTGGAAAATGCACGTTATTTATGAGGCTTGAAAGCATATTATAGTGCATATAGTTTTCAACCCATTCAAAATGTTGTTCACGCCATCTATAAATTATGACTTAATATTTTCATATTTTAATAAATCATGATTTATTCATGAGATATTTTTTAGTATTCTAATATGATTACATTTAATTTTTGGGGTGGGCCACAGGGGTGCCGGAGACTTTTTAAGGTGGGCCCGGGCCCACCCTGGCCCACCCCTGGGGCCGCCACTGGCTTAGTGTCTTAGTACATAAGGTTCATTAGTCATGTTGCCATAATATAATATTTATCAATCGGAATATAATATGTCAATATCACGGTCCGTGGTCAATATGAACGAGAACGACTTCAGTTAGATATGACTGATATGGGTTCGTCTTACCACGGTATTCTGTTTTACCTCATTTTATTTGAGTTTTGCACACGATAAAAGCACAGAATAATGGTACTATTATGATAGTACTATCTATAACTAAGGTTTTTTTTTATACTTTTTGAAAGCTATCTATTTAACTACTGAAAAATTCGTTACACCGACTATTTATATGGAATCTCCATAAAATTCTCTATCAATAAGTTTTAGATTCACCATTTCTCGTTCTCCTATGTGGGATTAATCTCATCCACAAACGGACGACCACAATAGTTCTGAATAGAGTACATACCTAATATTATTATAATATACATCTGGCATTTACTAATTTACTATACGTTTATACCTATTGTCCAGCATTAGTAGATTTCAAGACATATCATATTATATTATTATAAGTTATAACAAAATACATTTAGTTATTATCGTTTTCGAGACGTATACTTCATAAACTTTGATAATAAATTCAAATTTAAAGTTTATCAATTATACATAAAACAATTGTTCATGTTTAACAGTTAACACCCTTAATTAGATTTATTATCGATGTGATTATATGAATAGGTAACTACTTTTAGGAAAACTACTGGCATAGAAAGTTGTAATAGAAAGTTGCTGGCGTAATAACCAAATACGAACTAACGTATAAATATATAATAGTTTTTAAAGTTCAATAAATCATTTATAAGTTGTAGATGACGTTCACATAAGATAATATTATACTTTTAGGTTCCCAAACGTTTCGGTTTAGGCCCTTCTAAAACGTACTCCCGGGGTAGTTTATCCTCGAACCCTCCCCCTCAAGGTGTATTTTGAAAAGGCTTAGTTTTTGGACGACGTTTCTGAAACTCGAGGTTTGTATGGTTTGGAGGTCGGTTATCAAATTCGGAGTCATGTGTCGAGACCATAGGAGCTATTTTTATCCGTCTTTTGGGACTTCAAAGGTTCAAAATTTGCGGTTTTCGGGGTTTTTGGTAAGGGCACTTATATTTTGATGCTATAGAGGACTTTGCGCCGTTTCGATAGGTACCGATATCGAGGTTATCGGACTTTTGGTTCGGGAGTTATGATTTTTTGTGTGTTTTTTGTAATTAGAAAATTACGTAGTTACGTGGATTTCGGATTTTGGGTTTTCGTTCGATCACTACAAAACTCGAGATCTTTTGGTGTACGAAGATTCAAAAAGTCTCTATGGTCGAAGTACGTACGACCATTATACCCAGAGTCGGCGGTATGAACTATGGTCAAAGTTTTAAACAACGGCAATAATAGGCGTAAACGGCAATCAATGGTAAACAGGGCACAGTTCACAAAAATGCGAAAATCTCACAAGAGTTGTGTTAGGTCCAAAGGCTGAAAAGCGAGTTGTCGTTACTTGTTCATCGTTGCCCGTTGGTCGTTCGTAATTCGTAACACGTACATCGTGATGGTGGGAGATGACTGGGTGGTGGGAAACTGGAAAAAACTTCTCGCAAAAACCGTTACAAAACACAACAATAAAATGTGAAAACGCGGGAATTATTAAGTACATAGTTGAATATGTATTTCAAGATGGCGCATAATAAATCCTGAATTGAAAATTTGAACTCATTTGGCCGTTGGCCAGGTTGGGTTATCTTTTTTTTCCCCTCCATGAAATTTCGGGACAAGTACCCCAATCCCGTGCCTATAAACTAGTGAAAGCCACAGATATCCATATATCTTTTTCACGAGGGAACGGGACCGGCTGCCGTCGGTCTAGTTCGCCGCCGCGCATCTCCCACCAACTATCCGTTGTAAGCGTGATCACTTATTGGTTCTCCAATCGAATCATTTTACTAAACAACACGTGTGTTTCGTGAAAAAGAGTATAGTAGAACAATAATATATTTTAGGTTATATTGATATATTATAACTTATAAGTCGATGATTCAAGCATTTCAAGCCCGTCGAGGTTGCTACGGATTACGGACACGGGAATTACTTCGCAGGACACCCATCCATTAATCGTCTTGTACTAATTTGAGTATTTGACCATCGTTTTTATTCAGATTGTCCCGAAAATTGCACAGACACAATCCGAAAATGGCGAAAGATAAAAGAAAAAAGGAAATTGAATACAAACAACGCGTAAATGAATTGAAACAAGTACGTACCTATTATATTGCAGTATATTATAATAAACGAGATAAGTACCTTAGAGCTAGCGAACTGGTCTCGTCTTACGGTCTACATTTAAATCTCGTTTTAAAACACAATAGTTATTATTGTGTCGTTTGAAAGTGTGAATAATTTTCTACTATGTACCTTTTTAATTTATTTTAACCAATTTTTTTCCATCTCCATTTTATAGAAGTTGAAATCGTACCGCAACAACCAGACTGTAAATCTACTCCGACTGATCACAGGATCATCCACTGTACGTTTGGAGAAGTACTGGCAAAGCCTAGAAAGTGTGTTGACCGGACACCACCGGCATCGTGTTGTCCAAGAGAAACTTCAGAGTAAAATCAATATGATTACTGAGAATCGAGAGAAAATACCAAAACATCCCATTCCAACACAATAGGACACAATAAGGTGAAGAAAAAATTTAATTTAAAAACACCTTAATTTCGACTCCAAAGAAAAATTGTCTATAATGTGACACATGTTGAAATTTAGTCAAAAGCCATGTGAGACATGTTAATATCAACTCCAAAGCAAACGTATCTGAAAATGTGGGTATGTGACACTGACACATGTTGAAATTGAGTCAATTTCAACATGCGTCACATTTCAGATATGTTTGTTTTGGAGTCTATGTTAACATGTCTCACATGTCCAATATATTTCACATTGTATTTTGAGTCAATGTTACCATGTGTTTCATTGCTAAGCACATTGGCTTTTGAGTCAATTTCAACATGTATCACAGACACTTTTTCTTTGGAGTCGAAATTAAAGTGTTAAAATTTTTTCATTACCGTAACACGCTGTTGGACAATTTCAGTCATAGTGACATTGACTCAAAAGCCAATGTGCTTAGCAATGAAACACATGGTAACATAAACTCAAATTTCAATGTGAAATAAATTGAATATTTATAAGAAAATGAGTCATTTTTATAACAATAATAATATACATTTTTATTATTTACTTTGTTTTGTTTTTTATTATTATTTATTATTTTATTGCAAATGTGGTTCTTACCTAATAGAATAATTATGGTAATGGATATCTTATATATTATAAACAATTTTCATAATCTATTAGTATAATAGCTTGAATTTTTAATTTACTTAAATAATTAAAACATTTTAACAGATAAAATTAAAATTGTAAGCAATGTATGAAATCTGACAGTTAACAGTATTAATTTTATTTTTCATAAATTGTACAATACAGAAATAACTAAAGTATTTATTTTTAAGTAACACAAACACACACACGTCATATTCATTATGTATAGTATAATGTAGTATTGTAAACATATGTACTTAAATGTCTCAGAGTACATTTATTTATATTTTTGTTAATAATAAACAACAATAAATGCTTATGGTAAAAGGTAATCAAATATTTAATTTCACATTTCCATTTCCATTTGTTGCCTGGGTTAAATTATGAATCAAGTAGAGACGTTGCATTTCTGAAAGGCTTTGAACGTACCCATTATTACGTTTGATGTAACTCCAGGTATGTCCTGTCAACAAGAAATTACACATGTTATAGTTAGAACAAATATACTTTTAAGTTTTTAAATTAAATAGTTGTTTAAATTTATTTGAACGGTACTTACATATTTTATTGTAGATTTGACTTGATTTATAACTGCATCTTTCTTAACACTCTTAATGTTGTCACCAATCAAAAAACAGCTACAACCGTGCTACAAATTCATCTAATTGACTCTTCAACCATAGTACTATGGCTTGGTTGTTATTCCACAGGTAAGACTGTAAAAAACAAAATATAATATACTATAATACACTAACAATATTTCTAATAGGACTAATATTAGACGTATTAATTGTATTTTTGTATAAAATTATTTAGATAAACTTACATTTATTTTTATTATAATACAATATAAACTGATATTCTAACTGATATAAATGTTTTACTAAAAAAATGGGAGAACAATTGTCTTAAATAGAGTACAACTTATCTTTTTTATTCTTATCATATTTTTCTAAATTAAAATATGATCTAAAAATGTAATTATTGTTAAAAAATAGCTTTTTAACTTTCCTGAATAATTTTGAAAATGTCGCTTATGCCCTATTGCATTGTTGCCATCGATATTATAAAAATAATCTGATGGTTAAAATATAGATTTAACTTGTAAGATTTACTTCCTCAAATTCAAGAAAGTGATTCTCCAGATTGATATTTTTAATATTTTATATTAGATATTTTAGAGAGACTTTATTTTCTCAATAGTTATTTAATGCCACGGGAATAACAACAGCCAAATTACGAAAAACCATAGAAACGGGATTTTAATTTGTAACGCTTTGTTTATCATTATTACCGTAGAAACAAATAAAAATTAAAAATATTATAATATTAATTCAACTTACAGGCTATCATAAATAATAACAATTTAAAATATCCAGACTGACAAACCGTCTCCGCACAGAATCGTTTTTTCTTATATAATGATATTATTTCATTGAATTTGTTTAATAAAATCCACTATACATTGACCCACTTGTAACCTACTGCACAGCAGAGCGACATCCAAATACCCGTTTTTTTTTTATCTTGGTGAGGTATGAGTTTTTTATTGATTGCCAAGGTCTTATTGGACATAATATCTACAAAATTAAAAAAACATGAGTTGTTAGAATTTTCAAAAAAATGTGATAGTATTAACTAGTAATTATTGTTATTAAGTAAACACTAGATAGTTGTATCTAAATATTGATGATTGCTATTTGTTATTGTATCTAATATTACACATTTAAGTACCTGTTTTTTGCAAGAGTGAATTTAGATTATCAGTTGTAGGAAGAATGGAACATTCAAGCTCTCTGCTCGACCGGTTGCTGAGTCGTGGACCCGAGTAATGAGGGAGCCGTCTACAACCGGTCGGACGGAGGTTTTGTCTTCGAGTTCGCGTCATACAGTACCGAACTCTTTTCCTCATACATCTGATACATTGTGTAACATTGTTAATAAACTAGTAACTATGTATTATATTATTTGTGTTGTTATTTGGTATAATATACAAATCTTTGGTTGGTACTACGGTCACCCAAGCTCCTCTCACAGAACCACGCAGCATCACGTCAGATTATGCATGATATTGAATAAATGGATAATATTTTTTCTCTTATGTTCTCCAAGTATTCATCAATTTCATCACCGGAGCTAAAATTAAAATAATTTTTGTCAATATGGTCCATGTAAAAAAGAATTAAACTAAAATTTATATCATGAAGATTTGTCATTGTAATTAGGTGTCTACTAAATGTTATAAACGCATTATTAAAAGTTGATACAATTCTTCTCGTAAAAAAAACACGTTTTGTAAAATCATAGTTGTGTATAAAATAGGCCAATGATTTTTGAAAAATATATTCTACATTTCCATTGGGTTTCAGTATTCATTTAGTTATTATCATTGTACAAATTAATTTCTCTTTAATTATTCAAAAAATCAACCATGACTCAATAATCTCTAAGATATTTTACATTACAATTAATTTTTATGTACAAACATATATTATTTAATACTTTTTTTTTTTTTATTATAATTTGTTCATTGAAACGACCTCTAGGTCTTCGTCAATGCTTATCACAAGTGGGTAGTAGGGAGATCATGTGATTTATTTATCTATGTATATATCACTATATGCATGATACTACCCCCCTTCTCCTGCAAGAGGAGGCTTGTGCGGTCTTCACTCCCAGTGGAGTGGGACCTAGTTGGAAACCAGATGACGCAATCGGACGACAGCAGGGGGAAATGGTGATCGCGTAGAACCACACAAATTTATTTTGCACTGAGCTATGAATCGAACCGATGACTGTGTGAGTCGTAGTCAACTGCGTGACCACTGCGCCACTCTGGCCCATTTAATACTTAACAAAAAAAAAAAAAGCATGTAATTAAAAAATGTATTTATATTAACAAATAATTGAGTTAATAAAAAATAGTAATTTTAGTCTCGTAGCATATATATTTATAATATGTTACAATGCCTTGCACAAATAGGCAAAAACAAACTATACTTCACTTAACCATGAACATGTTGTCCCGCTTAAATACGCTTTTAAAAAAAAAACAGCAGTATTTTTTGAGAGAAAAACTAACAAAATTGTCGGAAATACAGACAATACAACAACTATTATTAATTTAATTTTAATAAATAATAATAATAATATTTTGGGTACTTTCCTGTTATACGAGACTACGGCTGTTATCGCGACTACCACGCTTATTTTGTGAAACATCACCATCCTGTTATCTAAGACTACCAAAATGGTACTTCCTGTTATACGTGACCACCTTATTTTTCTTGCCTTCTTTGTTAGATTTTTTAATAATATGTACTTTGGGGATGGCCAGAATGAAATAAAGAAAACATTTAAATACATAGTAATTATTCGTAATGTATTTTACATGTTACACGCCAAAGTGCCAAATTTACCGCGGCGTACGGAAAACAATAAATTAATAATAATAATACAAAATGGTAAATCCCCAAATAAAATAATAAATAATTTAGGTACGTACTGTGGGGATGGTCACATTCATATTATATAAAAAAAAAATGTAATACATAATAATTATTTGTAATGTACCAATTTTGTAGCGGCATACGGAAAACAGTAAATTAATAAGATAATAATAATAATACAAAATGGTATATCCACAAATATAATAAATATAATCGCAGATTATGGATATCGTTCAACTATAATATCAGCTAAATAAGATAGGTAGTCGCCATAACGGAGGTAGTCTTTGGTGGAAGTCGCGATAATAGCTGTAGTCTCGTATAACAGGAAAGTATAATTTTGGTAGTCTTAGATAACAGAATTGTGATGTTCTCAAAAAACAGGGTAGTCTAGTATAACAGGAAAGTACCATATTTTGTTTAAAGTAACCCTGTGTTAATATGCTTCAACGTAGAGAAAAAAGAAAAAAACCACAATGTCTATGAAGGCCAACTAAGTATAAATATCTATCCATAAGAAATATTATGTATCTCACTAAGGGGTTTTTATTTTGATAATTGTACATCTAAAAAATAATAAATATTAAATAATAGAAATAAAAAAATTATGTATTTAAAAAAATATTCAAGCAATTTCATATATGTGGTCCAGGCGTAGCAAAATGTCTGTAAAAATAACAAACTATCTGCCTTTATTATCTAACGCAGAGAGTGCAGCAATTGTGTCATTTCTTCTGTAGTGCAGCTAAAATATGGCATACCCGGGGGTTTTGGCTGACATACTTCTTTGTCGGTGACAAAACGTAACCTATACCGAGCGCCACATAGAATACATCAGCAAAGTAGTGACCTTTGTTTGCCTCTTTACCATCGTGATAAACAACTTGAAATACAAACA